ACATTCCCATCTAAGTTATGGAACAATTGTATGGGGAGGTAGTAATTATAAAAAAAAACTTTTGCCATTGCAAAAACGAGCAATAAAAATCATGTACAATGTTGATTTTAGAACACACTGTAAACCATTATTTAGGGAGGCTAATATTTTAACTTTACAAGCAATGTATATTTTAGACTGCCTTGTGTTTGCAAAAAATAGTTTTAGTAAAACAGACACACATGAAAATGTACACAGTTACAACACACGAAACCGCTGCAATTTTATATCTAGACAGTGTCGATACAGCACCACAGCTACTAGTTTTATTGAAAAATCCAAACAGTATTATAATACGTTACCTAATAGAATAAGATGTTTTAATTGTTTTAAATTTAAAATAGTACTTAAAAACTACCTGTTAAACCTGTGTCCATATAGAGAAATAGACTTTATAAACGATGTTAAATTAAATCTTAGTTAAAACCTTTAGTTCTAAGACATTTCCTTGACTGTGCCATGCATGTAAACCAGTGTAACGGCAATAAAGCATTCTTAACATTAAAAACATACATGAACGAGTCGTAGAAGTGGTCAAATAAATCATTAGAGGTAATATTTCTTAAATTAGGTTCTGGCATCCAAGCTTCACTGCTAGATAAAATTTGGAAGGCTTCAAAAGTCGAGGCTGTAAATTTCCTCTTCACTGTTTTATTTGCATTTCCCTCACCAAAACGTTCACACAACAAGTGCACTGATAGCAAATGGTGGTCTGAAAAGAAAACAGGTTTGGCACTGGGGGCACGAAACAGATGTGCAACACACGAGTCAACAATAAAATAATCAAGCTGAGTTATACAGTCAGGTGTTACTCTTGTTGGTCCTTTAAATATAATGTTCAGGTTATTACATTCCAACAAATCCTGAAGCAGCTGACTTTCCCAGGATCTCTCAAGATTATTTATATTTAAGTCAGCGCAAATAAGAAGTGGGATATTAAACTTATCTCTGAGGGTGGATATCAACAAGTCGAAACGATCAATAAAATCAATCACATCAGCGCTGTTGGTAGTCCCAGGCCGATATATTACCACAACAATAATTTGGAATTTGTCTAGCTGCATTAGTCCCAAACAGAACTCAAATACACCTTCAGAACAAATGTCTTTGTCAATAGATAATTTCATAGGCTTAAAATTAAACCTAGAGTCAGTTTTAAGCAACAGAGCAACTCCACCCCCTACTCGGTTAGGTCTAGAATATTCAGAAATAGTTTTGAATCCATTTACTTTAAAACAATTCAGCTTAGATTCATTAAGCCACGTTTCAGCAACACACAATACTTCAGGGTTCTCATTATGTAACAAAACTTCAAGGTCTTCTATCTTGTTAAAAATAGACCTAATATTTAAAAAATCAAACCTATAACTAATATCACAGTTTTTTTTCGCCCCAGGACAGTGTGAGTTGGGGCTTACGTCCCGTTTTTTGGACCATCAGTTGTCTTAGAAGTAGGCCTAGGCCTATCATGTTGTTCAAGGTTAGGTCTAGTACTGGTCCTATGACTACTATTAGTTCTAGGAGTCAAAAATTTACATATGAGGATTCCCTCAGGCCAGAGATTGCTATCCAACAGCTTGTCAATAGAGTCAGAAGGTACACCTACCTTAAAAGATGAGTAACCCTGGTACTTGGTGGGAAGTTGTTCACATTGGATTTGCGAGTGCTCAATAGGGCACAAGTTCCTTATATACTCGACTAGGCTTTCAGGTTTCACACATGGGTCAAATCTTGATAAAAACATCCAGGATTTCCTCTGTGCCACAACAAGAGATCCAGTTTGTTTAGCTTTGCCAATTATAGCTCGGTTTCGTTGCACTTTAGGTTGAGGACGTACTGAATTTGACTTCTCTCTGTCACCGCGACTATTTACGTTAATCCTTTTCTTCCTAGTCACTTGATTCCAATTGCCATCAGCACCAGGAGACATACATAAATGAGGCGATACTATAGCACTGGTAGTGATATTAGAAGTGTTTTTGTTTTTACCACGTTTCAGCACCTCACTATAACATTCACTTCTAGTAGAGGGGTTAGCAATATTAGCGTCAGCGTCATCGCCACGGCCATCTTGATGGGGCGTGACGTCATCGTCAGTGCTGCCAGTCTTACAGCAATCATTAAAACTAAGTTCATCATCTCCATGCAGTGGAGAGTACGTCACAGATTTTTTTTCATTACTTCCAACTACTGGAGTCAAAGTAGAGTCAGAATCAGCATTATGTACTACGTCATTGATATAAACTTCCGGTGGGCTCACCACATTGCTTTTTAACCTACAAACGTCATTGGAAATATTATCTAGCTTTGTTTTAATCAAACAATTGTCAGTTACTATATCATTCACTAATTTAAATAGCTTTCCAACATTCTGAAGTAGGTTACAGTTGTCATCAAAGCTCAGAGCATAATCCTTAAGCCTAGCTAACCTGACTTCGCAGCCTGCACAAAACCATTTGACTGAATCCCCCAGCTCTTTTATAGATTGGTATTTATCACTTTCAAATGACACACAATCGGTATGGAACGATTTACAACAAAATCCGTCACATGTAACTCCAGGATTTCCTTTATTCACGGTTTTTTCACAGACGCCACAGGGATAACGAACTGTACGACCCGTCATCTTGACCGGAAAAAGTGTATAGTTGAATAAAAAGTCTATATTCATAGTTGAAAGAAAAGTGATATTTTCACCACAACTGAACACGAATTCATAAAAGGATGGTTTGTCTAATTGCAGTATCCTAGGTCAGTGTTGACGTTGTGTTGAATCTATGTCATCCATCTGTTTATCTTTGTATAAAACCCGGCTGAGGTTGTGGTGGTAATTTAAAATCGTGATTCCTGATTATTCTTGATCTTCTTTTTATGACATCAATATTTCCGGGCCTAATCCAAACAAAGTTAATGCAGACAGATATTAATTGTAAACAAAAAGCTACCATGAAGAATTAAAACATGTAAACATTGTTATTTTTCTAATCTTTCCTTGAAAAGCGTAGCAGTAAAATAATTTGCATTTATCCATTTTTATTAAGACTCGTGTACAGAGCCTCGATTTGTACTGTGGTTTAATTAATTTTGGTTAAAACTGTGGTTAAAACTGTGGTCTAATTATCTCTACTAATCTTACTTATTTTCTATAATCAATGACAAAATAAGACAAAATAAAATAACCTCATAGTTCCATAGTTTATATTTAACCAGCTGTAAGTTAAAACAATTTATATTGCTCTAAAACAAATCGAAGATTACAAAGATTGCTTTAAATAATAATTTGAACATCACAGTATTTTACTAAGCATATTTAATTAATCTGTCATCCTCTTACAGAAGAATTGAACGTATCAATAATTAGCATTACACATAGTATAAATAAGTCAACCCTAAGTATGTCTTTACATTTTTATCCAAATGCTGAATTAGTGACACAAAAGCTGAATTTTTACAGCTGTTATGTTAAGCAAATTATTTTATACCAAAAGCTAACGTTTAGAATCTTAGCGTCGGCTGCTAGACTTTTTAAAATTTAAAACTTAATTTCTAAAAAACCGGGACCCTAAACTAAAATTATCGCTTCGACATTCCCTAGTTCTCAAAATTATCTTTCTTTCAACACAAAAATCATGAAAATCCGTCAAGTGGTTGATTCAGAATCGTGAAATAAAAAAAAACACTGTTTCGTTTTAATATTATAGATAGTTGAAGTGGTTTATACGAATACTAACAATACTAACAATAACCACAGACAAGAGAAACAAAATATAACTACAAAATACAAAACACGTGACCAGTGACAGGTTGGCAGCAGCTAGCTGAGAGCAGGTAGAGCGCGCGGGAACCAGGGTAGGCGCGGCCGGTGCGGGGGATGAGGAGGGAGGGGCGTGCGCCCGCGCGCCGTGAATGCGCGTATGAGCACTGTACACACTCACATCGCACGCCACGCTGGTTTTACGTGATTTCTGTTTTCTTTCCAGCTTCTAAACGCTTAAGAATTTTCCATTGGAGTATTTTTTTATACATTCTGTACATCATTGGCTTTGTTCTGATATGCGTCTTTTCTCGATTCATTTAAAAATAAACCAGTTATCGAATTTACAAAAAAAGGTACTTTTTTATTTATAAACGATATGGGAAATAAAATGTTTTAGCTTGTAAAGATACATTTTTTGGAATTTTTAAGAGCAGTTTGGTGAATATAGTCGAAACCGTTTTTGAGCTGGAAAGCAAACGGAGTTAGCACTTCAAAGCCCCATAACTCTCTTATTAGGCCACTAAAAAATTTCAGGTGACATTTTTTCTTACCCTTATAATGACCTTAACAATTATACTTTAAAAAATAATAGTATTTTATTTTCGTTCGAACACCCTTAAGTGCTGGAGGGATGTGTTCGATTCCCGACACATCCACAAAACTTTAATAGGTTTGGACCAATTTCCCTTTAAAGTGTTGTAATTTACTCAATTAAAAGTGCCACTGGCTTAGACGCAAGTGAAAAAAAATAAATAGCTAACTGTAAATGGGTTTTTAAGTGTTTTATTTTAAAGAAATTGGTCAATCATTTTAATTAATTGTTTTATGTTTTTTGTTGTTTTTTTTTTAATATGCAGTAGGTCTATATTTCATTTTATTTTTCTAATTTTTTATATTATAAAGTGTGATGTACGATGAATAATCATTTATAAAAAACCCTCAATAGATAACTTATTTCACAATATTAAGTTTGCCAAAAGACTGTTTACTAATTAATATAAATAAACAGTCATATGTTTTAATTGTTTTGTTTAAAAAAATTAATAATAGTTTTAGAGTGTTGTTGTTCGATAAAAGAATTAAAGAAGATGGTTTTTGTTAACATTTAATTTGTCATTTCTGAAGTTTAATCTTAAGTAATCGTCTGTGATATCAAATTAATTGAACCTCGTATATTGACGATTACAAGTGATTGTGTTTACAGGTTGTGATGGGCAAACTGTCAGCCCATGGAGTGAAGCTCGTACTTCCATCTCTACTTGCTGCTCTGGAGGAGGACTCTTGGAGGACAAAAACTGGTAAACTTGTAATATAAATAATCATGTATTTTCACTTTCTTTAAAGGATATTTTTTTTGGGAATTTTTTAACAAATTGTTTGTATCTTTAGACTGAACGTTATCTAATAGGAAATGTATTATTACTAGGAGTAGGCTAATTCTGCGCATAACGGGATGAGTGAACGTAGGTGCAACATGGGCGAATCCAGCCGCACTTACTGGTGTCGCTGGTGAAAACAATGTTATTTGTGGGCAAATCCACCAAATCTCAGTTAACAACAATGAATCATAACAACTTGTCCATTAATTAACCAAAGTCATTGGACAAGTTTTTGGTGGATTTCCAACAATTATCCATAGGTGGTAAATCCATCACTTCTGTTAACTTGAATGATGAGCAAGTTGGGTTCATCCCGCATTAAAGCGATTATAATCCCAAACCTACAAAGATTTTAAACCCATTTGAAAGAATAGTATTGGAAATGTTAAATTATATATTCTTTGAATTGTCGTATACTAAATGATTATAATTCCACAACTGATTCAATAAATATTGCCACTTATTAAGTAGTTTAAAACTCATTTTGCTGAACTGTTTAATCCACATATATTGAATGAGATTGAGATGAGAATGAGAAATGAGAATGAGAATTTTCTTAGTCATATAACCCATCAACTTTGAGAGTACAGTAATTAAAAAAAAAAATTTTCTTCTCATTAATAAACTTAAGTGGCATAAAAACTTATGATCGAGTAATACCAAAGATGTTTTGCTTTTATTCATGGAAGCCGCAATCCATAGTAAATTTGCGTGCAGTTGATTTTGGAGTAAATTTCGCTCTTCAAACACCTTGCAAATATCAAACTTCTTAGCTAAATGATTTAAATTACTTATTACATGAGTAACATTGTTACTTATTACATAAGTGAACTTATTACATAAGAATCATGGAGGAAGATGCTGAAGATCGGAAGAAATGGAGGCATTCAGTTGGCGAGGCCAAATACCACCTTGGGTATCGATGGCCATGGGAGTAAGAGAGTAAGTATGAGTAACATTAGCAGTGAATCCTCCCTTTCCGGTCTACCGCAGTCGCGTAGGAACAACATTTTGTGAGCGCTCATTTTGGACCTTATGGACTTTAGACGTGCGCTATTCCGACATCAAGATCAAGACACCAACATACGAAGATAGTGTCAAGTGTTGTGCCTTCGTCTTGAGGACATTCTACCATTTTACCTACCATCGCAACTCGACTCCGCGGCAGCTTCCTTGCCGCTCACGACGTCCTTCGACATAACTCCAAAGGTACATTCATACATCATTCTTAATTAACCCCATAATAAACATTCATTGTTATTGTTCAAATAACTGAATTTATTCCATTTGATTTGCCAATCTGACAAAATGAAAATATACAGAACGCTTTTTCAGGAAGTTGGCTTTGCAGTATAATCTCCAGAAATAAAAGTAAAATCTGCTTATTTCGGACCAAACAAATACCGTATTTAACAGGTTAAGTTTATTACATATATAATCTTTTTAAAGATAATGTTTGCCTACACCATATTTTTTTTTATATTAAAAAATAACATTGAATTAAACAATTTAAACAGCTGCTTAATATAACTAACATATCAATTCAAACAATGATCTTACGTTTTCTTTTTTCAAACAAATCAAAAGTGATTCACTGGAGTGCAGCGTCTAATATTTTTGTTTTTGATCCTTTACCATTATTTTAATCAATATTAAAAATCATGAAATGTTTCCAAAATCGTATAAACTACTGTCAAACAGACGGTATTACTGTATGTATTTTTAGACACGATATACTTATTGGGTATTTTATTAATGTCCAATTTTAAATTTGAAACAAACTTCTTTTGTATCTCACAGTAAATAAATAAATAAATATTTATTGTCACTTAACGTTTACATAATATAGCAATGGTATACAACAGGTGACATTGTCAAAATACAAAATACCTTAAGACTAAGGAGTTATAAAAGACTAAAATAAACTAAAACTTTAAAATCAAAAGTTGTATAAACAAAATGTATCAGTTAAAAAATGTGTTAAAACAAATTTATTTTTACACAACCTGATCATTTATGAACTCTTCTATACTATAAAAGTTTTTTCGTAAAAGAAAATTAGCAAGGCTGCTTTTGAAATGCTTGGACTGTATTTCGTTCTTTAATTCTTAAGACAGTTTATTAAATAGTTTTTGCCCATGTATGTCGGATTTTTAGGGGTGTGCGAAGCACCAAAAAATTGTCGATTCAACTCGATTCAAAGCAATACGGCATTTTTCTATCCATACTTGTCAATGGAGGGAAATAACAATAACTAAATTTACCACATTTTTGTGTAATGCAAATTTATGTTGATGTGGTATTAGGCCTATCCATACATATGACATATATGTATGGTGAAAAATATTTATTTTCAATCAAATTTTAGAAGAAGCTGTATTGCTCAAAATGTCAGTGAGCTGCTTTACTTGCCTACTTCATAATTTTTACTTGCGGAATCATATTGTTAAGCATGTTAACTATTTTATGATAATGATTTAATTAAAGATATGTTTTGGTGTAAAAAATAAAAACATTTGTAAGATTTATACTGAAACTTTCAATTGGTTTACATTTATAAAATCAGACCTACAAACTACAAGGTATACATTGCTTCAGACCTACAAAAATACCAAATTTATCAGTATAAAACAACAGTCTTACTAGTTAAGTATCTTCCTAACAATTTTTCAGACTCCAAAATCATTCTGTTATTTTTAGAATGATTTTGGAGTGACTTGTTTTGGTTATGTTTACAGAAGTAAAACATGTCTCATACTGCTTACACTTTACAAAAAACTTCTCATCATTTGCAATGTCAAAACAAAAAATTAAATAGGGGTCTGCGAGTCAGACTTTTTTGGTTCGGGTAGAGGGGCCAATAATCTTGGCCCTTGGGTTTCGGTCCAAAATTGGGTCGGGCCAAAAATTACTAATTACCGGATTCTTTTTGTTTTAACTCCTATCTGTGTTTATAATATTACTTTATAATAAAATATGAAAAAAACATTGTATTTATGTACATTATTTCATGTGCATAACTTATTTACAGCTTAGGAATTGGCTCAACTGCAAGAAAGAAGAAAAGAAAATACATTTGTTTGTTCAAGAAATTCTTTCCCATTTTCATAACTGTTGAAATATCTAAATAGCTAGGCTTATAATTACAACAAGTTTTGAATGGAACTTAATATAAAAGGATCATAACATAAAAAAATCAATTATAACCTTATCACAAGTTAGGGCCTGTGGACTGGCTTCAAGACTGCAAGCAAGAAGAAAAGAAAAATTATATGTTTCCACCATGCAATATGAATCATTCATTCCCTGCCTCCTAATCTCCTAAGTATAAAAACCTCGTACTTACAATAGCATTATTAGTTACATCGTCATAAATAAAGAATTATCTATTATTGGCATTAGTAGCTTACAGCTTTACTGAGCCCGAGGGACTTTTTCTAAAATTGAATGTCAGTTTGCAAATCTACCATACATTATTAAAACCTTTTACTCCTTAGAGGATTGTGTCAAGAAAAAAAAACACAGTTAAGATTACCACCTATTTTACCTATTGCTTTACCTATTTTACTCTGAGATACTCTGAATATCCATGATAAAGTGGTTTTAAAATTAGGATAAGAACTTTTAGGAATAAACATGTTTGAAGCATTTATTTGACAATATAATTTCACACAACTGGTAAATTATTTCCAACCAACACAATGTCTAGTTGTTTTTTAGACTTCTAAAAACATATCAATATCAAATTATTCAGTACGAAGACAGTGTAGTTTCCAGCTGTTAACAATCAACAGACGAAAATGAAAAGCTGGAGGTTATGATGAAGTAATGGCAAAGAGCGTCTTTTTTATCAGCTTCAAAACTAATTATAAGATGGATACAACTCTTGCAAAGCTTTTTCTGAATCTAAAATTTGGATTAGCACAGAGAAAGATTATTATCTTTTAATTTGCAAAGATAACATCCACACATATCAAAGCATTAGTTTATCTCAGGCTCAATCCAATTTTCTTGGTATAGGCTATATTAAAGCTCTTCCAAAGAATCAACAGACCCAGGCCTAGAACTAATTATTTAGGAGGGCCTATATAAATTGAGTATCAAACAATGGGTTAACAATGAGGGTAGTAAAATCACTATCATTATTCTAGTTCATAAGATTTAGATTGCATAAAGTACCTACATCACAATAAAAAATATAGCCGTGCCGTCCACGGCGGCCGTGGACATCACGACCTCCTTCAAGCGACGACGCGGCGTCGCGCCGTACTCGACCTCTTGAACACCATGGTCTCTTATGGATGCGTTCACACAGGTCGATGGGGGGCCGTCCCGACTCGGTCTAGCGCATGCGCAGACATTGTTTATTTCAGTGTCTTCCTGGATTCGAGAGGTGTAGTACATCCATCACAAAAGGCGGAATCTTCCACTTTTGTAAAATAATTGTAAAAATAAAAAATAACTTATCTGAACAGTTTACAGGTACATAGTATTATTTACTATCAAACATTGGTTTTTAAACAGTTAGTCATGCCTTAAGATAGGCCACAAAGCTCGTTTGTAAAGATTAACCAGATTTTTTTGGAAATTAAGTGAGCTTACACAATTTGTATAATACATAAAATACACCTTTTAGCGCAAAACCTGAGACTAACGGCAAGTCTTTCCACAGCTGGGACACGGCATCTCTCATCTTGATATTCTGTTTCAATTAAGCCTCCTTACACTTTTACTTACATTTCATCAAATGAAGCAACTGACATTCGGAAAAATAATTATAAAATTTACTTTCGTTTTTTCTTAGAAAAGAAAAGAAATGAAAAGAAAAAGAATGCTCCTGTTACTGGCCTTTGCACGTTTATAGAGTGTAGGCTACCCACTTTAGCCTATTACGCCTCTTTTGCTTTGACGATGTAGCAAGTATAAAAAGAGCATGCTTGTTTGGTATCCATTTTTACAGACTGAACAAATGTGGCAAGAAGTCATCTACGCACGGTGCAAGTCGTGTTGTTCACGGCGCGAGTCGTATGGTCCACGGTTGTATATTTTAGGTTAGTTTTTAATCTTGACAATGTCATCTGTTTTTTAGCTTTGCTATGATTTAAAACGTAATGTGACAATAAAGAATTATTTATTTATTTACCTAAAGAGAAATCTAAATGCTCATCGAGTGATGATGTCTACATAGGGTCTGTAGAACTGCTAGGAGCCATGGCGTTCTGTGCTCCCAAGCAGCTGTCCTCATGTCTGCCCAGCATTGTACCCAAGCTGATAGAAGTGCTGAGTGACTCCCACATTAAGGTACAGAAGGCCGGGGCTCAGGCTCTCAAACTCATCGGTTCAGTCATCAGGAATCCGGAGATTCAAGGTCAGTGATGTCTTCGCATCTCAGAGTTTGATGATTACATGAAATTATTGTACGTAGTTTTGCTTTATAGTTGTGTCAAGTATTATCTTTATTTGTAAACTATGAGATCTTCACGAAAGATGATCTTGTTAGTGCCGTAACCTTGGGACATGTTAAGGATGGCGCTATGATTGGGGGAGATGTTCATGATGCCGCCGCAATAGCAGATTATAGTCTTTATGACATTGTGTTAGGTACACATTACGTTACAAATTTTTATCTACTGAAGCTAAGTACTACTGTTTCTTTACTGGTAATCATATCAGGCCCTAACCCCCTAGAAATAGTAGGGGTATGCGAAAAAATAATTATCAAGTTTTTTGAGTAAGCAAGGTTTGAGTTATGATGGTGCCATATACCGAAAATCCGAGATACTGAGGTGTGACCTTTATAACTCGGCTTTCACTCGCAAAAACCTTTATAAATAGAGCTCAAGCTATTTATACATACTGGAGTGCAACTGTGGAATCAAAACAATTTATCATGCATATAAATGGTATAATACTGAAAATAATACTAACTCTTACAAAGTCAATTCTGATATAGGGATTATTTTATCCCAACACTGTTTTTACCATATTAAAACACATGATTTGTTTTGATTTGACCTTTAGCCTCATACTTTCCCTGGTTTTTCAAAATCTTCATTTAAGTGTTAGACGGAATCCCGAATTCCCTGGAGATTTCACCTAATTTCTTTATAGTCCAGTCAACCTGTGTTTTTAGGAGGGAAAATACAGTAAAAAACTGATTTTTTGCCCATCTACTACTACGATTTAGACAAGTGTTCAGTCAAAAGTCCCCGCCCCTACCCCCCTTGCTGTGGCTAAGCCATGAGAAAGTGTATTTTATTCTTTTAACTTAAACTAAATTTAATCCGTAAAACTAATATAGTTATTCTTAACTGATATTTACTAATTACCAAGAAAATTGAAACTGAACTACTGAATTTGATTTTTGTTTTTATCTTTATCTTCCTTTTTAGTCTTGCAATATTTTCATATGGGGAAAACTTACTAAAGTATGTTAAAAATATTTACTTACATAGGAACATCTAATGTAAAAACTGTATCTCGGATAATGAATAGTTTATCCTGGTTTCAAATGTGTACGTAGCACACACAATACAAAGATTAAATTTTTGACAGGAAAAAAGCAACCTGGATTTGAAAACTCGTTAAGCAGAAAGGAACTGTGTATCCTTCCTTTCTCCTTAACAAGTTAGTTATTTAAAGATTAGTAAGTGGTTCTTATATTTGTGTAGCCATTGTCCCGGTGCTACTAGAAGCGCTACAAGATCCTAGCCACAAGACCGCCACCTGTCTGCAGACACTACTTGACACCAAGTTTGTACACTTCATAGACGCCCCCTCCCTTGCTCTCATCATGCCTGTTGTACAGCGGGCGTTCATGGATCGCAGCACAGAGACCAGGAAGATGGCCGCTCAGATCATCGGCAACATGTACTCCCTGACTGATCAGAAGGACCTTACGCCCTACCTTCCTACCATCATACCTGGGCTCAAGTCTTCTTTGCTGGATCCTGTACCCGAGGTGAGTATCAGGTTTTTCTTTGAGCAAATGCCACTTATGTTAATTTTCATTTGAAAGTTTAATTAAAATTTGTTTCTACATATTTTTTGCAAAAGAGTTTAAAATAACTTATAATTAGATGTCACTATTGTGCAGGTTCGTAGTGTGTCTGCCAGAGCTCTAGGAGCCATGGTGCGAGGGATGGGAGAGTCCAGCTTTGAGGATCTGCTGCCCTGGTTGATGCAGACACTCACGTCAGAGTCCAGCTCTGTAGACAGGTCTGGAGCTGCACAAGGCATCAGTGAGGTGGTGGGAGGTCTGGGAGTTGAAAAACTACGTAAACTCATGCCTGGTGAGTGGTGGACAAGTTCATGTGGTTGTTACTAAAACAGACCTTTGGAGGAGTTGAAGAATCGGGTTGAAATTGTGAAAAGGAGAATCATTTGGAGAGTCTGAAAACTAATAATAACTTGCAGAATACCCCTCCTTCGTACGGGGTTGGCGTATAAGTAAGTATACAATGCTTATTCTTATTGCAGATATACTCATGCTTTGCGTTTGCAATGGGAGAGGACACGATTCGAGAAAATTTGGTTTAATTTTCGGTGTGCAATAGTATAACACATCTACCATAGCCATTATGTTCTACCACTAAGCCTTTAAACAAAAAAATAATAAATTATTGAATATTTGCACAATATCAAAAGATTATTTATAAATTAAAAACTCAAACTTAACTGTAAACAATCCTACTTTGACACTTCTCATTTTGTATTACAGATTTTTGTCGCTGCTTGGTTCAAATTAACTGTTGTCATAAATGCAAAAAAATAATAGTGTTGCACCGTGTTGGTAAACCTTATAACTTATTAATGATATTGAATATCATAGAACCAACTTCTGCAGTTGAAACAGCTGACAAAATTCTTTAATTCCTTTTTAATATGACTACTCATAAGGTTAACATGGGACACTCCAAAGCCACTGGGACGGAGCCCGAAAGGACTTTTGAGTTAAGAATACTGTATGTCTATATGTTAATCGGGAATGTGAGCTATCATCATACCAAATTTCAGCCCAATCCGACCAGTATTTAATGCTTGATTGAACTTCAAACAAACAAACAAACACACAAACTTTCACATTTATGATATTAGTGTAAGAAAACTCTGCAAATAAACGGATTTCTGTAAAATTAAAATAAACCAGTTTTAAAAAGTTACATTTTGTTTATTATATTTCTTAAAACACAATTATATCATTATTCAAACTATGAAAATTGACAACTAATAACATATGGTTTTCCCAAAGTATTGTTCAAAAATACTTCAGAGATAATTGAGTTAAACATCGGTGGGGCACACGGAAGATTTCTCAGGTGCCGTTTGACGTCACTAGCTGCGTCTGAAGAAACAGACAATTTTATAATTTTTCTATTATTAAATTAAACTGTCATAACCTAACCAAACTAACCAAATGTGCTGATAATGAAAAAATCGAATGAAGGTTTACTAATCTAAAAAATAGTTTTGTTCATAAAATAAAATTATAAATGCCTAAAATTCAACTTTATAATTTTTTAATTTCATTTGATTTAATTTTTAATTATAAAATTAAACCGTCATAACCTAACCAAACCAACCAAACTTGCTGATATGAAAAAAATGTTGACAAAAAGTTAATGCTACCAGCGGGATTCGAACCCGGTTCATTCGGATTATCGGCCTGACACGCTAGCCACTACACCACAGAGGCCGATGGCTCAATACCGTATCGTTGCGGTAATAGTGTTCCCTTGACTGACGTCAGCAGTTAGTGACGTCAAACGGCACCTGAGAAATCTTCCGTGTGCCGTTTCGGTTAAACATTTCCAACAATTAGTATGATAAGAAAACTTGAAGGAAATTTAGACTTGTACAACTTTAAGATGGTTTAAAATAGTTTGAAGAGCTTGTGAAAAAGAGACAGAGCTAACAATGAGAAAGTACAAAATCGTTTCACAAAAGTTGTGAGTGCTCAGAGGTCGTACACTTTTGCAAGAGAACCTAGATGTTAGGGTGGTGGCAATGCGTGTTTACCACCCTTGTAAATGTTTGGTTAGTAGTACTGAAATATATCTAACAGCTCAATCACAGTGAAAAATATTTGTGCAGGTCTTTTTGACTACTTCTGAGATAACTGTCTGACAGGTCATGTTAGACAGCTACTTATCCTATGTAAAGAATACCCCCGCCGCAGCAAACCTGCAGACTAAGCGAATTTCCATTTGCCTGATTGGATTTACACTAAAATGTCTCCTTAAAAATATCACATTTATTCCCTATTTAAATAGAATCAGTTTAACACATACTTAGGTTTGCTGCAACAGGGAGGGTAAAAGTGTTTTTTATGTAACATGTTAATAGTTAGTAAGAAATAAAAACATTTTCTAAATTTGGGCAAAAAATGTTAATAAACAAGCAAACTACAACAGTTTACTTATTCTCCATAAGAATAACATGGGAATTTTAAATTTACAAATTTTTTAAATTTTCTCCGTAACCATTAGGTGCATTATAACGCTTTATATACTAAATTATTTGTTTTTTTAAGCTCTACAAAATAGTTTGGAAAGAAATTGCAAAATTTTATGTTTTTTGAGTCAAAAGTAGGAAAAACCCATTTTTACCCCATAAAACCCCCCAAAAACCCCCGTTCCCATGGTCCGATCATGCTGGTTCGCGAACTCGTTCGAATAAACGTAGGTTTACACGTTTGTACCAAATTTCATCAAAATCGGATCGTTTTTGCTCGAGTTATCGCGCTAACGGACACATATATAAATATATATATATATATATATATATATATATATATGAATTTGAACGGATGGTGTTTTTGGCCTCTAGGGACCTCAAAACGAAAAAAAAATCGGTCCCGGGTCCAGGTCTTACCATGAGTACTACGGTAATAGCTTATTCCCTATATGGGAAATTCGCTAAAAAAGAAAACTCTGACTTATATATTTAAATATGTATTTAAATATATGTTTTACTCTCCTTGTTATCACCTCAATAACTCTCTGACTATTCAATCTTTACAAATTTTGGTTGCCCCTGGGTTGGAAGAACTGTGAATAATATAAACAACAGAGCGTTTGGCAGTGGAAGCTTGATGTTAAAATAATATTTGAGTGGGCCCTGTAGAATAAAATTATCCCCAGAGATCCTTATGGGACGTCTCTGATACTGTGGAATGAAGTTCTTCCAGACTGATATAAATATTAATAAATCTTAAAGTGCACTGAATTTACTCTGCTCACTAACACACTAAATCTAGTGTTGCACTTCAAATGTGAATCTTTTGTAGCGGCCTTTTATATTACTGTGTTTACCAACCTTCTATTGAATGACTATTAATGCTAAATTGAAATACCCCGGATATTGAGAACTATTAAAATATATAACAATTCAATTTATTTCGCAGAATAAAAAACGTTTACGCTTCAATATTTCTTTCAATGTGTAATTTACAAATGTTTGTATGTCTGTAATTTACTAACAATATAAGCTTCGAGTGCAACAATCAATTATAACTTTAATCAAAAAATTATGAATGAACCCATTGAAAGGGAAGTATGTGGCGCGGTTACACACTGATTCCGAAAATGCCAAATGAGGTGTGAAATTTACTTTACTTTTTGAGATGACCAGTACCAGCAAATCCTTTTGTTGGCCAACGATTTAAAAACGAAGATCGAGTCTCGTAGTCCAACCTTGTTAAACAGTGTTTCTGTTTAATCGCAGTAATATATGATAGAAGATTGCTTATTATTTTATGGCTAAAAGGTACTTTGGCGGTTCATCTATTAACAAACACACACACTACCCCAATTAACACCTCCGTATCTAGCCGAACCAGCTGCCTACCTCCACTTTCAATATTATTTGACTTTTCCCCAAATAAAATAATGGCTGTTGCACTCTTAATTTATCTCTGATTGAATATTGCCACAAAATGAAACAATGACTCTGTTAATGAATATGTATCAGTAAAATAATTTACAATTTACATTAAATATAAATGCAAAATCCTGTACAATTCAATTAGTTTGATATAATGAGACAATAGTTATTTGTGCAACTAGTGAGAAAAGTGAGCAATTGACTAACTCGAGAGAAATCCTTACTCACGAGCCGTAGGCGAGTGAGGAATGGTTTCTCGAGTGAGACAATTGTACTTTGAACTCGAGTTGCACATTATACTTTTCCTACAGTTACCATAAAACAAATAAATTGGTGAAGAAACATAACCTATTTTTACACAGAAGTGAACTTTTAATATAACATTTAATGTGAAACGACAAATACAACAGTACAACAGCTGACCAGCTGATTTACAGCCAGTGCTGCCAACGTATTTCGCGCGCATACGACGTTGCCTGCATGTTACGCGCTCACTATTTCGTGCCTTCATGTTGCAAATCTGGAGTGAGACAAAGTTAACATTGTCTCACTGATGAGCGAATTGGCCACTTTGCTTTCTCAAATCAGTGAGAGAACATGTACATTGTTAGGTAACTGTAGGAAAACACAGTTTACTATGTTACAGATTGATATACCAGAAATGGATATTAAAAATACCAATGAGAACTTGAACCTGAAAACATGTGCTTATATAACAAGATGTAACAAACTATAACAGGAAAATTCTACACCATGTGCGACTCACTGAAAACTATAACTATAACAATAAATAACATTGATTACTTACAAATTTTGGACGTCCTACAATGACACAAACACTGGGATATAGGAGGGAATATGAAATTAGCTGAGCTTTTACCCCAAAAAACGCGATTAAATGATTTGGTCAACGAACGCGAAATTTCCAATGGCGGTCTTTGTTTGCCGGTAAAGTTACTTTACAACACTTTCTTTTTCAAAACTGATTCTATTATCACCTCGCGTGACAAATATATCCCTGCGGGATATAGGCTTAACGATTGATGAAAATAATAATTGTCCGGACAAACACCACGGATTGAATTTAATTTGCTTGATCGATTTGATAGCTCAACTAACTACGCGTAGGACGGGAAGGGAACGACTGGGAGACGAAGATCTTTCCATGGCTGGCCAATTTCACCCCCACTCCTCGTAGTGCATTGTGGGTACTTTGCCTATGGTTCGATCAGCTGACTATCTGTTCGCGTTTACTCATATTGATTTGTTGTAAAACACGACAAATTGGTACAAAATGCCCCCTAGCAGAAAAAAATTATCCCCGACCGGCCAAAAAGGACAATCCGACCTATCACTTCACCTCGGAGCATTTTTGGTCCAGCCAGGATGTCACGACGATAACACATAA